TTCTCGTTCTTCTTTTGCTTGCTGGGAGCTTTCCCGTGTAAATAGTTTTATTTCTTTTCTTTCCTTTGGGGGTCAAGAGGAGAAGACCATAATGAAAATGTTTAGTGGCTTTAATATGCATGCTTGTTGATTTAACCAAGAGCCCATATTACCTTGTCTTCTCCCTTGAATTGAATGCCTGCAGATTCCAGCTTAGTCCAATGCACGTGCACTATTATTATTATTCACACCATTAGGCCGTGTAAGTGAAAGGCAATAATGACGATATATGATGGACTGATTGAGATGAGAGAAGCTGGTATGAACTCGACCTCTCTTGTTTTTGTAAATATGATTAATTCATCGTTCCTAATTTAGCCTATTATAAATAAACATGTTTGCAATGACAAATAGAGATTATAGTTGCTTATGCCATGCTTAATTAGCTAGGAGCTTATAATGGTTTACCTTGCGTGCCAACATGCTATTAAAATGGTTGTGATGTGGTATGATAGGGTGGTATCCTTCTTTGAATGATTTGAGTGATCTGACTTGGCACATGCTCACGCATGTAGCTGAAACAAAATCAACATAGCCTTCACGATATTTATGTTCATGGTGGATTATATCCTACTCATGCTTGCACTCAGTGTTGATTAATTTTAATGCATGTTCATGACTGTTGTCGCTCTCTAAGTTGGTCGTTTCCCAGTCTCTTTCTAGCCTTCACCCGTACTAAGCGGGAATACTGCTTGTGCATCCAAACTCCATAAACCCCAAAGTTATTCCATATGAGTCACCATACCTTCCTACATGCAGTATCTACCTGCCATTTCAAGTAAATTTGTATGTGCCAAACTCCAAACCTTCAAATGAAATTCTGTTTTGTATGCTCGAACAGCTCATGTATCAACTAGGGTTGTATGTATCTTACATGTTAGGCGGGTTATTCTCAAGAGGAGTGGACTCCGCTCCTCATTCACAAGAAAATGGCTGGTCACCGGGATGCCCGGTCCCATGCTCAAATCAAATCAAAATAATTGCAAACAAAACTCCCCCAGGATTGTTGCTAGTTGGAGGCACCCGTTGTTTCGGGTAAGCCATGGATTGATGCTTGTTGGTGGTGGGGGGGTATAAACTTTACCATTTTGTTTGAGAACCGCCTATAATGTGTGTAGCATGGAAGATATCGAGATCTCTTAGTTGTTATGTTGACAGTGAAAGTATATCGCTCAAAATTTTATTCATCTCTATTTTAAAATCGAGCTCTGGCACCTCTAAAAATTCCTACTTCCCTCTGCAAAGGGCCTATTAAAAAGCACCTGCTGGAGAGCACTGATGTCATTTGCATGCATTACTATTAATTTATATTGGGTATGACTATGACTGGATATCTTTTACCATGAATTACAATGTTTAGTCAGTCCTTGATCTTTAAAGGTGCTCTGCATTTATGTTTTGCGGTCTAAAAAAGGGCTAGTGAGATACCATCTTGTTATATCATATTATGATTGTTTTGAGAAAGTGTTGTCATCCGAGATTTATTATTATTGCTCGCTAGTTGATTATGCCATTGATATGAGTAAACATGAGACCTAAGTGTTATTGTGAATATGGTTAGTTCATAATCTTTGCTGAAAACTTGAATGTTGGCTTTACATATTTGCAACAACAAGAGCAAACAGAGTTTGTAAATTTTTTTCTTTATCACTTTCAGTTTGTCAACTGAATTGCTTGAGGACAAGCAAAGGTTTAAGCTTGGGGGAGTTGATACGTCTCTGTCGTATCTACTTTTCCAAACACTCTTGCCCTTGTTTTGGACTCTAACCTTCATGATTTGAATGGAAATAACCTGGACTGACGTTGTTTTCAGTAGAACTGCCATGGTGTTATTTTTGTGCAGAAATAAAAGTTCTCAGAATGACCTGAAAATCCACGAAGCAACTTTTCAGAATTAATAAAAAATACTGGCGAAAGAATCAGCACCAGGGGGCCCACACCCTGTCCACGAGGGTGGGGGACGCCCCCCTAGGGCGCGCCCCCTGCCTCGTGGCCCCCCTGGACCTCCACCGACCTCAACTCCAACTCCATATATTTGCTTTCGCGGAGAAAATAGTCAGAGAAAAAGTTTAATCGCGTTTTACGATACGGAGCCGCCGCCAAGCCCTAATCTCTCTCAGGAGGGCTGATCTGGAGTCCGTTCGGGACTCCGGAGAGGGGGATTCGTTGCCATCGTCATCATCAACCATCCTCCATCACCAATTTCATGATGCTCACCGCCGTGCGTGAGTAATTCCATCGTAGGCTTGCTGGACGGTGATGGGTTGGATGAGATTTACCATGTAATCAAGTTAGTTTTGTTAGGGTTTGATCCCTAGTATCCACTATGTTCTGAGATTGATGTTGCTATGGCTTTGCTATGCTTAATGCTTGTCATTAGGGCCCGAGTGTCATGATTTTAGATCTGAACCTATTATGTTTTCATGAATATATGCGAGTTCTTGATCCTATCTTGCAAGTCTATAGTAACCTATTATGTGTTATGATCCAACAACCCAGAAGTGACAAATAATTGGGATACTTCTCGGTGATGACCGTAGTTTGAAGAGTTCATGTATTCACTATGTGTTAATGCTTTGGTCCGATACTCTATTAAAATGAGGCCTTAATATCCCTTAGTTTCCATTAGGACCCCGCTGCCACGGGAGGGTAGGACAAAAGATGTTATGCAAATTCTTTTCCATAAGCACGTATGACTATATTCGGAATACATGCCTACATTGCATTGATGAACTGGAGCTAGTTCTGTGTCACCCTATGTTATAACTATTACATGAGGAATCACATCTGACATAATTATCCATCACTGATCCAATGCCTACGAGCTTTTCACATATTGTGTTTTGCTTATTTACTTTATCATTGCTGCTGTTACAATTACCACAAAACTGCTACTGTTACTTTTGCCACTGTTACCGTTACTTCCATACTACTTTGCTATTAAATACTTTGCTGCAGATATTAAGTTATCCAGGTGTGGTTGAATTGACAACTCAACTGCTAATACTTGAGAATATTCTTTGGCTCCCCTTGTGTCGAATCAATAAAATTGGGTTGAATACTCTACCCTCGAAAACTGTTGCGATCCCCAATACTTGTGGGTTATCATCGTATAATCAAACCCGCAGATACTTGAGGTGACATTGGAGTATCTAGGTGACATTAGGGTTTTGGTTGATGTGTGTCTTAAGGTGTTATTTTACTACGAACTCTAGGATTGTTTGTGACACTTACAGAAATAGCCCAATGGATTGATTGGAAATGATAACTTTGACTTAGTTTCATACCTTACAATAATATCTTCGTTTGTTCTCCGCTATTAGTGACTTTGGAGTGACTCTTTGTTGCACGTTAAGGGATTGTTATATGATCTAATTATGTTATCATTGTTGAGAGAACTTGCACTAGTGAAAGTATGAACCATAGGCCTTGTTTCCAAGCATTGTCATACCGTTTTCGCACACTTTTACCACTTGCTACCTTACTGTTTTATATTTTCAGATTACAAAAACCTATATCTACCATTCATATTGCACCTGTATCACCATCTCTTCGCCAAACTAGTGCACCTATATAATTTACCATTGCATTGGGTGTGTTGGGGACATAAGAGACTCTTTGTTATTTGGTTGCAGGGTTGTTTGAGAGAGACCATCTTCATCCTATGTCTCTCACGGATTGATAAACTTTAGGTAATCCATGTGAGGGAAATTTGCTACTGTCCTACAAACCACTGCACTTGGAGGCCCAACAACATTTATAAGAAGAAGGTTGCGTAGTAGACATCACCGGCCGCCGCTGCTGGACCCCAGCATGACGTTGAGGTCGATGACAGTCGAGGGGTGCAGGGTGGACGGCGCGATCACGCCAACGTCCGACGACCCCGAAAAATGGGTCTGGCCTTCGTAGTTTGGCGAAGGAAAACCAGGCGATAAAGACGTGGTCCGCGACATCGGCGAGGGACAGTACGGAGGCCTGCGACTGACGAGCCTGTGCTCGCCGGGCCGACGGGCGCTGCAGAGAAACCCGCCGGAGGCAATTCTCGAGCATGAGGAGGGCGTGCGCTTTGTTGAGGATGCCCTCCTTCTCGTCGACCTCGGCCTTGCGCCGCGCAGACTCCAGCGCAGCTCGGTCGACGACGAACTTGGCCGCGGCGTTCTTGCCCTTGACGACCGCCCTCTGGTTCCCCCTCTTCGTTGATTCCACGTCTATCTTTGCGAGCTCCGCCGACTTGAGTTCCGGCCGCGGCTTCTTCGGACCCTTGGCCACCTTCTTCTTCACCTTTGCGGGCGGATCGACGTCCTGGCCGCCGGAATTCGGCGGGACATCGGCCATGGGCGGGGGAGGGTGGTGGGCGGGACGTGGGAGGGTTTAAGGGAAAATGACGCGAAATGGGGCGCCGGGCTGGTGCTTTGTGTCACCGACGGGCGGGTCAGGGAAGGACAAGCGCGCGCGTCCCACCCGTCTGCGCGCATCGTTTCACAAAAAAAGGCTCAAACTTAGACCGAGGATGTGTTGAAAGCGCACATAAAACAAACAAAAGTCTGTTTACGTTTTCGCTGTGTCATCTGATTCATTCATTTTACGTCAAACGGACGCACCGGAAATTGACGAGGTCGACGCAGTGGAGTTGGAGTTGGCCTGAGTAGTGAGTGATCAATCATCAATGCGCCGCAAGTAAAAATTTCCTCTCCTCTGACAACCGCCGTTCTCCAGAGCAGGCCACCCCTTTTCCCTTCACACCGCGGCAGTAAAAAAACGGCCTGGGATTCTACTGCCTGGGATTCTACTCCTGCAAACACTGTGCACAGGGAGACAGCACAAGGAAGCGAAGCTGAGGACGCAGGGCACGATGGCTCCATAGTCAGAGCGTCCAAGGAGGAACAAGAAAAAGCCAGCAGGGAAAGGGAAAGCGGAAGAGGGGCACGCACGCCGCACGCCAAGATAGCGGGGCAGCAGCCATGGACGTAGAGCCACCGACAGCGGCAGCGGCAGCGGCGGCGCTGCCGCAGAAATGCGGTGTCGGCGGGGAGCAGCCATGCCATGGGACCCCGAATCGGCCGCGGGAAGAGCCGCAGGAGGACTCCGCCGCCCCGGCGCCGCTGCGGCGGGAGCTGGCGGCCGCGCGGGCGCGGCGGAGAGCGGGCCGCGCCACGCCCTCGCCGTCCTGGAAGCTCGAGGCGTCGCCACCGCGGCCGGAGAAGCCGCCGGCGGACGCGGCGGCTGCGGGGAGGAGGAGCTCGTCGGGGGCGTCCGCGCGGCAGCTGGGCGCCACCCTGTGGGAGATCCAGGACGTCATCAGGGCCGCGGGCGCCGGCCGCCGGATCCGCAGGCGCGCGCGGAGGGGGCCCGCTGCGTCCCCCCGCCGCGACGGCGACGACAACGACGACGTGGATCGGGTGAGAGCTCTACTACCGCCCCGCCTCTCTGCTTTCCCTGGTCAACGTTGGTGACGTCGCTAGTCAGTTGCTGTCTGCTATTTTTACTAGCCGTCTTTTCCTGCTAACAACTCTATATACATATACTCTACATTGGCATCATGTCATTGTCGCCGAATTTTCAGTGGATCAATATGTTAGAATTTGTTCCTCAATGCACATGCCAGTGCGGCGGATAGAGTAGCTTTTCTGCCAAAGCAACATATCATATGCTGCTGCTTCTTGAGACTTAGCCATTTCGGCGCTAATAGAAAATCCTAGCCGCAATGTGCCCCTTCCTCGACTATTTTCGAGGCAGAGATCAGGTCCTAAAATGCAGTACCAAGCACACCGCGTTGTTCGATTCGATTAGCCTTAGCCTCGCTCCGAGATTTCTACTATTTTGTTCTCCACTTTTGTGGTGTTGGACTGTCAAAATGTCAGGAAGACAAGAAGTAATGTGCAATAAATCCGAAATCCACTGCTGTCACAGTATATACTTGTACCCTCCTTTCAATTGAGGGCGAAGCTCGTACGTAATTTTGGCACATGAATCGGGCATGTCTAGTGTTAATGTGGCCCCTGGCGTTTGTGCATTGGCTGCTTAGTGATAGAATGTCCTGAAATTTACCACCGAGCAGTTGCTGCAACAGAATGGAATTTGGACCACCCTTCTTCTAGGGGAATTTGGAGTACGCTTTACACATAGAACCTGCAACTAAATACTAGTAGTAACAGTATTAGTTTTAAATGCACTGTTACGGAAACAAGTCATCAGCCGTGTATGGTAGAGGTTTTCACAACAACAACAACAACAACAACAACAACAAAACCTTCAGCCCCAAACAAGTTGGGGTAGGCTAGAGGTGAAACCCATAAGATCTCGCAACCAACTCATGGTTCTGGCACATGGATAGCAAGCTTCCACGCACCCATGTTCATGGCTAGTTCTCTGGTGATACTCTAGTCCTTCAGATCTCTCTTTACGGACTCCTCCCATGTCAAGTTCGGTCTACCCCGACCTCTCTTGACATTACTAGTAAGCATGTACGTGCAACGCACGTCTCGACTAATACTATTCGTTTCAAGATTGGTCATAATGAGAATACTTCTTTGAACAATCTGTTTCCAGATTGAAGCCTGAAAGAAACAAAAATAAACCAGATAATTTAATAATATGTTTCCACCTAACCAATTTGAATCATCTCTTTTCTGGAGAAAACAATCTAAATAATCTTTTGTATGGCATGAGCCAAATTTAGACAACATACTTGCTAACATCCCATTTATTTACGAATAAACGAAAGGACATAGCAGTTAATAACCAGTCAATGTGGAGTGCCTATAATATTAGTCTCATGCATTGCGGCTTGCATTGACATGGGCACGGCAAGGACGTCCACACAAGAGATAGCGGCGCCAAGAAGAGCCATCTGTGAAGCTACTCTTCTACTGGAAATCCCACACACTACTCTAAATCTGTGGCATGTGAGCATGATCACCTTCGGTTACAGCGGATACATGATCTGATTGGAACAAAAACTCTCAAGAGCAACCAACATTTAGATGAAGTTCCAAGATAAAGACAAAAAAA